TAAAAAAGAATGTGACGGAGAGAAAGAGAGAAAGAGAAGACAAATAAGCCTTAAGTTTCGAGTGACGAAACAAGGAACAAACAGGGCGGAAGATGGGCGTGAAAAAAAGGGGCTCATGCCATCATGGCTGCCTATCCCTATCATCTGCGCCCGAGCAGACTAAAGAGTGTCAACAGTTTACTCAATTTCTGACTGGGTGGATGACTAGTACCTGGAAAATGTCAAAATCAAACCAATCGGAGGCCGGGCTCGAAGACCAATAGTCAGATTTAACAATGCTTGACCATCAAATGGAAATAAATTCAATTGTGTAAGCGCTTCTTTGGTAGCGACTATGAGTAATCTTAGTTTTAAGAAGTCATTTTTTGTATGGAGTTACAGATATACATATAAATTTCATCCCAAACTTAAAGAGAGAGTCTAATTCCTGCACTCAAGCTCATCGTCACAAGCATTTAAAAAAGGTATTTTCCTGCAAAGTGGACTACAGACTCGACCTTACATAGGCATGCACACCAATCCCTGGGATTTTCTAACCGAAAACATTTCAGTCAAGAGACAAAGGTCTTATTAATTAATTTCCTAAATGAGTAGGTTTTTGGGACTACGAAGAAATCAGATATATGAGTTTTGTTCAACCTATTTCGTTTAAGGTGATGAAAGACTGGTAGTTTAATTATCCCATAATCACATGAGTAGAGCTGATGTTTACATTGTATTTCATAGAGCCTTCCATTTCCAAAAGTTGTTCTGATCCCGGCTGGAGTGAATTGCAGTTTCAACCTCGCATAGGCCTTATCAACACCCCAAGTAGGAGTCGAATCATGAGAGTGCAGTGTGTGAGCTCGACACGTTAGCCACTACGCCCCATTGCCACGAGTGCCTTTGGGTCAGCTTAAATCATATCATTGTGAGAATAATAAACAGGCAGTCCTTCATCACCTTAAACGAAATAGGATGAACACATAGCTCGTATTTACTGGTAGTCTCGAAAAGCTAATAACGAAAAAACTAACGTCGTCGATTGCTAAGGCAATTATAAGTTTGCTTCATCGACAATCCAAACACAGAATATTATATGGAATATGCCTGACATTTCTCGAAATTCACATCAGACCTGTGACCCAATGACACTCGTGGCAATGTGGCCTAGTCGTTCTGCACTGCCATGGTTTGCCTCCCGCTTGGGGTGTTGATAAGGCCTATGCAAGGTCGAAATTGCAGTCCAGCCTAGATAAAAACACTTTTTTGAAAATAGTACCAAAGCATGTCGAAATAGGACCCAGTCGATATCGAAACTGCAGTCCACCTTGAATGAGAATATAATTTGGGAAGCAAAGTTACGTACAATTAAATGGCATTCTTGGGCCTATTTAACTAATTATGTGAAAATTGACTATACGCACTACATTATCTCAAATGAAATGTCGTGACTAAAGCTCTTATTTACGATTTGCTTTTTTATGAGAGATCAAGACCTTTAAGACGTCGATAATCAAAGCTGCAAGGTAGTAAAAAGGATTTTAATGCAATAAAACAGAGGGATGCCCTGGATCCTAGGCCCTCGAGTGTCAGGTCGTTATCATTTGGTATGAAAAGAGAATAGGAAAAAACTCGCTTAACTGCAGTCTTGTTTTCCGAAAAAACACTTGATAAGTCTCATCTTATCTAAAGAGGAGGCAAAGACTAGTCAGCAACAGATTCATTTTAGTGGTAAACCAGTAAGAAAAGAAATGGATATATGAGAGCATGAAGGAGATTCGGATAGCAGTTCCAAGTCGGATCAGCAATTCCGTCAAATCAAAAGGGAGGTGGAAGGAAAGTTAAACAAACAGATGTGCTAACGCCCCACTAAACTCACAAAAAAGGGCTCACCTCTAAAGGATTCGAAGATAAACAAGTAAGAAGTTGTGATAGGGTATGAGTGAGATAAGATGGTATGGAGTAAGTAGATGTACCAGAATAGGAGTGTGAAGAAATTTTGACAAAGGATTAACTTTAAACTTATTAAAGAGTCTCACTAAGAGTAATATGACGAATGAAAAGGGTGCATATGTTCGTGTCAATTGCGAAAACCAGACGATTTAGCTTGTCAAGTTTCACTGCTTATTCTAGACGTTATCGAAGTACAACTCACAAAGTTACCATGAGGGAGAAAGCTAAAATATGGAAACATCAAGTCAAGCAGACAGACCCCTATTGACATTCAGTTTCAATGATTCCTTTTGCTGAGTAAGGATTTAATTAGATTTATGACGTATTGTAGTTATTATCACTTGTAACTCTTATTATTAGAATAATACTAGTCATCGTAAACGGGCACGAATGTAGACAAAATAATAGAATAATGAAGCAATATTATACCCTAAAACTAATAATAAACTTGACAATAAGGACTACCTACTTCACATATAACGGCAAAATCTATGAACAAATATTTGGACTTCCAGTGTGATCGCCACTCTCAACTCTATTGGCAAACGTGTATATGAAAACATTAGAAGAGAATTTCAAGACGTCACTATTGCAACCAAGAGTTCTCATGCGGTACCTGGATGACTACTTCGTACGTAAGGGAAAAGTTAAAGGATTTATTGAAGTTTATGAGACGATTTAATGAAAGAATCAAATTCACAATGCAAGTAGAGGAAGGGGAGTGATTATCTTTCCTCAAAGTTGGAGCCATTTGCTTAAATAGGAAAATTATTCAGAAAGAAGTCATATATCGGAATAATGCTCGATTTCGAATCTCATCACAATTAGAGAATGAAGATAAGAATACTTACAAGCATGATTATCAGAGGCCTATGACTAATGGACGTAGAATTCTGGGATGATAAATGGTAAAGGTTGACTCGGATATTCCTCGGCAACGGATACCAGAGAGAAGTAATACAAAGAAACATAGTAGGCGTGAAAAGCAGATGATAGGAGGGGAATTATGATAGAAAAATAAGGATGAAGAAAAACTCAAAAATGGATATGCCTACCTTCCTGCGAACTAACTCAAAAACTACGGTTAATATGAAGAGGATGGAATATTCATGTGACCACGAAGAAAGAAAAACACTCTTTACAAGAGTACCCTAGCAACATTAGAGGGCAGACAAATTGGATTGCTGAGAAGATTAAGGCGTAACATGCAGCGTCTGCAAACAGAAATATACTGGCGAAACAAGGAAAAAAATAAGCATACGAAGAAAAGGGGCATCAAAGGCTCTGCGAAAAAATAAATACAGATAGGTCAAAAATAATGAAACACCACAAATTGTGCTAAGAATGACAAAGCTCGCTGACAATGCCGACTATGATGGCGGCGAAACGTCTGGAAATGTACCATGTCGAAGGTCCGACTCTGGAAATTATCATATGTATGGACTCCAGACAAGGTACGTTCCGCTAGGTCTTTCTGAAATAAAGTTTGCTCAAGGTACATTGGTTGAACGAGCCGTGGAGACAATGCCTGATATCTGCAAGCATAGAAATCGGTCTAGGCACCCTGCTCGGTGAGGTGATAGTGTGTATGCCTCGAAAGCCTTGAGAAATAGCGCCTAAAGTTACACGTATACTATGACTGCAACCAAGTGAAATCAATCAAATAATGAGACAAGAAACGGATCTACAGGCCAATGAGGAAGATTCGGATATGAAGTCAGAGTCGGATCAGCAAGTCGAGAGGGAGGAAGGGAAGGCAAGGTAAACAGATGTGGTGACGCTACACTAGACTCGCCAAAAAGGACACACCTCTAGAGGAGTCGAAGATAAACAAGAAGTTGTGATAGGGTATGAGTGAGATAAGAGGGTATGGAGTAGGTAGATGTGACAGGATAGAAAGAGAAGTGATAACACAACCGTTCGGCAAAATGTTGGTCAAGGGATGGATTTCACTTGTCTATTTAAAGAGTTGTAGCCTGGCGCTGAAAATGACAAAACTCTGTGACGACGCCGGCGAAACGCCCAGGAATGTACCAAGTCCATATTCTAATGTTAGGAATAATGATAACTACTATAGCAGAGAACCTCGGACGAAGTGTGTTTACTCGGCCTGAGAACAGGAGCAATTTGCGAGATCAAACAACTTCTAAAATGCTTTATAGAGGCTCTCCAAGGAGGACTAAATGTTCAGCCCTCTAAAGAGCATAAAGGAATAGAAAACTAAAATAGAAAACATCTTGCATGC